CTGTTTCTTTATTGTTCATTGTTTCTTTCTCAGAATTTCAGAGCCAAAGGAAAGAAAACAACACAATCGATTTTTGGTTTTGGGTGTTAGTGATAAAAGACATTGAGTATTATGGCTTGCGTATGATGCAAGTTATTCAGGTTTCTTGGGAAGCAAATCTCTAAAACATGTCTGCAAGAAGACTAAAAGGAATCTCAGAGGACAATGGCGTAATCACCGCGATCGCCATTGACAAAGACAAGAACAGCCAACACGCCTTGAAGTGGGCCGTCGAAAACATCATTCTCGATTCTCCACAATGTGTTCTTCTTCACGTTGAACGTATGCATCATCTCTCATTCTTTTAGCTCACGAAACAAACAATGTTCAAAGAACCCTAATTAGGGATTCTATTTTGCAGTAGGAGACGCAGGACCACAATTACAACATGGCAATCAAGACGAGGCGCATCAATTCTTTCTTCCTTTCAGAGGATTCTGCGCTCGAAAAGGAGTCAGTGTTTCGATCATTCTCAATCTCCTTGCAAACTTACTATTCATCACATTATCATGACATTATTGTATATGCACGGTTCTCAGATCATAGCGAAGGAGGTTATTCTTCGCGATTATGACATCCCCAATGCTATTGTCAACTACATTACCAACAATTCCATTTCAAATATCGTTGTTGGATCCGCGCGAAACACCTTCCTCAAGTCTCTTTCTCTCTCTCTTAATTCTCATGCTTGATGATATCATCTCAAATTTGGTTCTATCAATGCTAACCTCAGTCTTTGTATGTGATCAGGAAGTTTATGAGTCCAGATGTGGCCACCATTTTGCTTAAGACAGCTCCAGAGACTTGTGCAGTCTTTGTCGTGTCCAAAGGTAAGCTTTTAAAAAGCAGATCCGCGAGTCAACCTCAGGAAACTTCCAAAAAACAAGATCTCTCTTCTTTGTTGTACAACTACGAGCGATCGAGCTCCTTTGGTTCCACTGATTCAGACAGGTAATCTCAAGTTTCTTCAAATCATTTGGCCATGGTCTTCGTTTCAAACAAGAATTAGTGAAGAATACCCTTTTTGGTTTTATATTTTACAGGGAATCATTTGTATTTACCAACCCCAACAAACCCATGTCAGATTTATCCCAATCCACTTCACCTCACAGCTCGCCACCGCGATCTCTGAGTGAGATTTCTCTGTCAGATATTGACAATCGCAGTAGTTACGGTGTGGTATCAACTGTGAGCGGCAATGGCAGTTATGGTGTGGTATCAACTGTGAGTGACAATGGCAGTTACGGTGTGTTATCAAGTTCAACTGTGAGTTCTTACACAGTCTCTGAAAGTTCCACTACCAACGCAAGCTCCATCTCTTCGACATCCATGGTTAGTATCATTACATTCAGATAGAGAATCTGGTCTTTCAGGTCTCTTACTCTTCTGACATTTCCTTCTTGAAAAAAACTAACGCACAGGAAAGTACACATGCGGGAAATTTCGAGGAACAACAGGTAAGTTGTTTATAGGAACATTGAACTTGGTGCCGGATTTGCAGAATGTCAACATGGTATTGACACTGTGTATGTTCTTTCCCAGCATCAAAACCTTGAAGCAGAAGTGAAGAGATTGAGACTCGAATTGAAGCAGTTTAATGCTTCAAAGGGAAAAGACACTATGAACTATAAAGAAAGCGTAAGATGTTCTTACCCTGCCTCAATCTTTAGTTTCCTGGTGGATAGAAAAGTAATCAAGTATTGAATTATGCAGTCCCAAGAACTTCAACTATCTACAATCAACGAAACCGAAAGATCAGACGAAGCAATACAACTGCCTAGAGCATTGACTGAGGAGAATGAGAAAAGGCAGTCTGCAAATCAAGCAAATGAAATAGCAAAGCGCTTAGCGAAAATGGAGAGCCAAAAGAGAAGATTACTAGCGGTGCAAGCCAAGTTGGAGAAACAAAGGATGCTTAGTAATATCTCTTACAGGCGTTACAGTATCAAAGATGTTGAAGGTGCAACCCATGGTTTTTCAGATGCTTTAAAGATTGGGGAAGGTGGGTATGGACCTGTGTACAAAGCTGTCCTCGATTACACTTCTGTCGCCATTAAAATCTTGAAGGCGGGTATCACGCAGGGCATGAAACAATTCCAACAAGAGGTAGTGTGTATTCTAATGTGAAATCCTTATGTTACTTTCTTTTAGTTTCTCCTTCTGACTTATACATATGTTTTTTCACTAGATTGAGGTTCTGAGTTGCATGAGACACCCAAATATGGTGATCCTACTCGGTGCATGTCCTGAGTATGGTTGTCTAGTTTATGAGTACATGGAAAATGGAACACTTGAAGATCGTCTCTTCTGCAAAAACAATACACCCCCACTTTCATGGAGAACAAGGTTCAGAATCGCTGCTGAGATCGCCACAGGACTTCTTTTCCTTCACCAGGCAAAACCTGAGCCCTTAGTTCATCGTGATCTGAAGCCAGCAAACATTCTACTCGACAGACATTTCACTAGCAAAATCAGCGATGTTGGTCTAGCTCGCCTAGTACCTCATGCGGTAGCTGATACCTTCAGTAACTATCACATGACTTCTGCAGCCGGTAATAATCTTATCTTCCATCTCTCTTTAGATGGCTTAACATAGAACCACAGTGTTGATGTTTGTTTTTTTTTTCCTTTGGCTCACGGGAACAGGTACATTTTGTTACATCGACCCTGAGTATCAGCAAACCGGAATGCTTGGAGTGAAATCTGATCTCTACTCTTTTGGTGTGGTGCTTCTGCAAATCATAACAGCCATGCCAGCAATGGGGTTAGGCCATAAAGTAGGGAAGGCTGTTCAGAAAAATAAGTTCAGAGAAATTTTGGATCCAACAGTATCAGACTGGCCTGAAGAAGAGACTCTGGTGTTGGCTAAATTGGCTTTGCAATGCTGTGAGCTGAGGAAAAAAGACAGACCTGATCTTGCTTCAGTTCTATTACCAGCTCTGAACAGGCTAAGAGAGCTTGCAACAGAGGAACATGAACGTATCCAGGACAGAACATCTCATGTATCACACGGTCACAATTCAGTTCTGCATGCCCCAAATCCTTCCTATGAGGTTAGTTTCTTAGAGCTCTTCTGCTTGAGAGATCAAAGTTTAGGAAATTCCACTAACAGTTAGAACCTGCAACAAAAAAATTATAATCTTCTACATTAGTTACATTGACTATATTCATGATCATGCCATATGACAATAAGCATATAAACATTAACTAGATTCCTCATTTCAAGAACATAACTGAAAATGGATCTAGACCTTAGTTGATCAAGAGACATATAAAAAACACTTTCTTTTCCTGCACACATGCAATATATCACACTGAGCAGGGTTTTAGACCAGCTAGATTCATATATTGTCAAAAGTAGGTAAAATGTTTACTGCAGAACTTTCTCAGTCCATGAAATGAAATCATGTCTGCCAATGTAGAGAGAGGATGATCAAATGAGAAAATCATATTGAGTATTGACAAATGGAAATTCGACGTAGATCAACCAGAAGCAGGCATTAATGGCAATACCTGAGAGAAGCGACGATCTTGATTCGTCTACGTCAAGTAACCATTCCGTACCAATAAGAAGTCGACCTCCAAGACCACGTAAAAGCAAGTCCAAAGGCAGGCTTTGGTCTTTTTTGAATTGTGCTCCATCCAAAGTTCAGTGGGGTGATCTCCCATAGTGAGGGAAATCCTTATATTGTATATCAAACACTTTTAGTTATGATTCTGTAAAATGCAACACTCCTAAAGAAGAGTTGTTTGTTAATGTAAAAATCAAATCAGTATTGTCACAGAAAAATCTTTTCTAAGC